TTGTTTTTATGCATTTTTTTTCTTGGAGACTCTGTTGATGTCATTTTGAAACTCTGACCTCCTTGCACCCTGGGTAGGTCCTCTCCGGAAGAAATTTAACACTGGGAGAACTATGTCCGAGGCCACACAGCTTGACCACAAAGCCACAAAGAGGATTCTCTGTTCCTCGTGTCCAGGCTGTTCTCCCACGGTCCTAAATCAGAACCTCTCTCCCAATCTGTAGCCACGAGTAGCTAAAGTAGACTCAGATTATTCAATGTTCCCAGCAGTTCTGTAATGATGTCGTTCAAAAAGTCTACAGCAGCGAGGCGGCGTTGTTCTGTTTCCCCGTTAGTACAGCACGTCCACCAACTTCAAATCCCTGCCACAGACGCTCGATTTTTGTTCTGTGCTTTCCCAAGAGCAGCTGAATTGGGATTAGCAATTTTGGGGGAAAGTAGCAAAATAAAGGCAATTCGTACAAAATAAACTCCACCCATCATGCTCTGGCTGACACACCTCTTAGTCAAAGGTTACTGGCCTGGTTTGCTGAGCGATGGGGCCGGAACCTCAGTTCACATGACCTTAGTTATAAGTGTCTCTCCGTCCTCCCTGCGAGGACATTCTTCCCTCACTTAATTATGAGTCTCACCATTCTGCTGAATGACAAAATCAAGAAATGTCTCTATCGTGCATTACCTGGATTTGCTGTTCCTCGGAAATTTCTTTCACAAGGATCATCTTTAACAAGAAGGTAGAGTACCTTTGTGCCCATAAATCTCCCAGGGAGGCCCGTCCAAATGCTCTCCACTGCCCACACGTGTTTATCTACCACGTGGAGACTAAAGGCTTGGGAAAGAATTCCACTGGGCAGATCCTAGCTACACAGAAACCACGTGTTTGTTTCCTGGTGAAGCGATCACCTGGGTCTCAGAGGAGCAGGAGAATTTCGTCTGCTTTTTTTCCCCGTGTCGCTGGGAATCACCCCTCTGTCCACCCATCGTCTTCCAGTACAGTGAAGTCAGCATCGTGGTGACTAGACTCGGTAACTGTTGCACTGTGCAGAGATTTCCAGTAACGTGGAAGAGATGAGGATGGAGTTCCTGATCAAATGAAAAGATCTTTGAAACTGCCAGTGCCAAGGCTGGCCGCGTGGGCCTCCACCTCCCATTATCTGCGATGTGTGTGGCCAGGGTAAATGGCAGGGGACACTGTTGGCTGTTGTCGCTGAGGCTGTAATTCCAGGCCCCAGGAAGGCGGGGCTGGCTTCTACCCACGGCTCTAAACATCACGCACAGACTGCAAGATCCAAGCGAGGTCTCGAGCCGACACCTACTCCTGAGCTGCAGAACCCGGCACCTACCACCCGCTGAACAGGTCCTCTGGGCGTCCAGCAGGCAACGCAGTTCCGGACATCCACACGGAACTCCTTCCCCACCCCCTCCCTGCTCGCGCAGGACATGGTCCCAGCGACAGCACGTCCTCCACCCAGTGACGCAGGACAGAAAAGGGGAAGTGGTTTCCGTTCCCCACACTGACCCGTCTCTCCGCCCTATCTTTGTATCGCCAGCCTCGGCCCCCCGGCGGGCGCTGCGCATCCCCTGGGTTCCTGCAGCATCACCACCCCCGGCCCCGCCCGGGCCCTCCAGGTCCAGTTGCGTCTCAACCCATTCTGCACGGAGCATCTAGACCGACTCTAAAATGAGAACCTCAAATCCTCCAGGACCCTCGTCATCCTCAGGGAGGAGCCCAAACCCCTGAGATGGCGCCCGAGGCCCGACCTGCTCTCCCGCTCTGCCAGCCCGGCCTCACCCACCCTCTCCTCGGCTCGGCGCCTTCAGCCCGGACGCTGGCTCCGCCGTTCCGCTCTCAGGGGGCATCTCTGACCCACCCTCTGCGCTTCCAGAGCACGTTGGGCCACCCTGCCCGCACACAGCCGCGTCCTGCTCTGTCACGCCCTGTCCGCAGGGCCCTGCGGGCCGGGGGGTACCTCACTTGCCCTCATAAGGACAGTCGCACCCCCAGACCCAGAGCCTGGGCCCGCGCTTCAGGGGTCCTCGCCTTCACAATCTCAGCACAACCCACGCCCCGAGGGGTCGGGGTCGTGACCAGCTCTGCTCAGGATCCACGAACTGCTATTCCAAACTCCCAGCCGCAGAGTCAAACCCCACGAAGGTGGGTGAGGGTGAGTGAGGTGACCTGGGAGACAGGCGGACCGACAGACGGACACGGTCCGCGGCGCGGGTGTGGACGGCCGCACCGAGCTAGAGAAGGCGAGTCAAGCCCGCTCTCAGTGTGGATGCCCTTCCCACTGGCGCCACCTGCACGTTTTCTCGCTTCTCTTCACGCGCCAATGCACGATTTAAGAAGCACTGTGGGATCTGCAAAACTTGCGAGGGGCAGCGGAGGAAGATTTTACAATATTCAACAATTCACATCCTTCCTGAACGTGTACCTGTTCCCCTGAACATCCGTACACACGCATGAACGTGCTGCTGACTCTCACCTCCACTGTGCGGAACCAGAGGCCACTCTAAGGGAACCAGAGGCTCCTCTAAGAAACGGTAAAAATAGCGACACGAGTGACATCAATTTATGTGATGAAGTACAACGTTCTGTAAAATTTTTTCTGATAACAAAGTTATGAGACCTCATTACAAAGGTGGAGCAGGATATACAAAATTCCCAGTTTATATCTAAAGCTAAATACGCCTTAAAGAATTTTATGGATGATTTCAGTTGCTTTTGGCAGAATTAAAGTTTTCTAAAATTAAATGAATAAAAAGTTAAGTACGCTGACTCAGAAAAGGTTATGTAAGTTGACATTACTGCTCATAAAGCACAGTGTGTGTGAAAAACCTGATTACAACAGCATAATTAGTTAATTTTGCTGAATTTAAGGGAAGAAAAATAAAATGTATGGAATAACATATTTTGTACATTATGTATGCTTTAATTTTATTACTCATCCAACTGTCATTAGCCTGTCACCAACCAGACATGAATATTTAAATTTAGTCATTATGGGTATTTTATTGATTTTCAATCACAGATAACGCATAGTTTTAAACTTATTTTTTGAAATTTTGGTGTTTGGCAACTCTATTTGTTGAGGTGGGAATAGATAACATGTCTTACTTACAACTTTTAAATGTTTTAAAATATGGGGTAGGAGGGCCTCCACTTACACACTTCTGGGCCTGTTGTGAGAGTGGTCACTGATTGCACAGCCCACTAGTAGCCTGCCTGCTCAATAAATATTTCTGAAATGAAATGCATGTGTATATATGTCTAAGGTTACACAGGCAAATTTAAGAGTTATGGGAATTGTTTAATACTGCAATAACATTTCTGAAAGGAATTAATGACTCTCTTTCTCTATCAAGATAGAAGATACTGTGAATTAAGTCACATTAACACATCAAGCGGCTCAGAAAATCCCAGCTTTGAGGTGTGTTTCCCGTCAACAGCTGAAACACATGGTCGTCAGGAGAGAATGTCTGGACTCTGGTTCCATCACCTCATGAATTCACCTTTCCTCCAGCTTGGTCTTAGCGACCAATGGGATCCGTGTGTTATGTGTTTACGCAATTCTGCTCGCAATAGCCATTTATTCAGGAAATCAGGATTAATCCCCGAGGCTGTGAAATAACCTCTGGAGAAGCAGCGGTGAACAGGGAGAGGCTGGCTTCACGGAGCTGGCCTTCTGGTGGGGGAGCAGTCACGGAACAAATGACAGCATAGTTAACTGTGCACGTACGGCTGTCATGGGAACAGGTAACAGGAGGGCCTCATCCCAGGCCAGAGAGACAGGGGAGCCCCAGGGAAAATGAAAAGCAAAGGGTGAGTTAGGTATTATCCTGGTAAAGAAAAAAGGGAAGAGAACCACCCACACAAAGAATACGGAGTCCTGATCAAAACACAGCCAACCCCACGTGAACAGCCCCCGAGCTTGAGACAGCTTGGTGTACTCAACGCCCGTGAGAAGGGGCCTCCAGGGAGGACAGGGGCCCGCCTTCCTCTCCAGAACTTTAGGTTCTGTCCTGAGTGCAAGGGGCCACTAAGGGGCTTTAATTAGAATGTTTTTCTCCGGTTTTACACTCTGTGTGGTAACTGACTCTGATCCAGGAAGAGCTGGAAAAGAAGGGTAAGAGGTACCGGCACGTCTGCAGGAAGCAGACGGGTGGGGCTGGGCCGGGGCGTGGTGAACAGCAGGCCCGTGGAGATCTCGTCGGCGGGAGCATCAGCTGGACTGGGGATGGACCAGATGACGGGCAGACAAAACGAGAGGGCAAAGGTGATGGTCAGAAACCTGACAGGGTAGCTAGCTAGAGACACACCATTTATACTCACATGGTATCTCCATTCTTATCTCTGTCCCAGACTTATCTACCAAGCTTCAGACAAACGTATCCACTCACTGCTGGAAACTGTAACTCCACGACCTCCCTGGAGACTCAAGTAACACGTCCAGACTGAACTCATCATTTTCCCCTGACTCAGCCAGGAACACAAACAGCTCCTCCATCTTTCCTTATCGTAGCAAGTGCCCTACCATTTGCTAATCACCTGGGATGGTTAATTTTATGTGTCAACTTGACTGGGTCAGAGGAAGCCCAGAATTTGGTCACACGTTATTCTGGGCACGTTTGTGGGGAAGTTTTTGCACGAGGTTAACATCTGAACCGGCAGACGGGGTGAAGCAGATGGCCCTCCCTAATGTGGGGAGGCCTCATCCCATCAGCTGAAGGCCTGAGTGCAACAAACATGAGAGACTTCCACCTGCCCGGCTGCCTTGGAGCCGGGATATCAGCCTTTTCCTGCCCTTGAACTCAAACTGGAACAATGGCTCTTCCTGGGTGTCAAGGCTGCCAGCTTTCAGACTGGAACGTATACCACTGGTTCTCCTGGGTCTCCAGCTCTGACTGCAGACATGGGACTTGTCAGCCTTCGTAATCACATGAGCCAATTTCTTGTAGTAAATCCCTTTCTGTCTCTCTCTCTCTCTCTCTCGCTGTGTATATATATATATATGTATCTCCTATTAGTTCTGTTTCTGGGGAGAAGCCTGACTAATACATCAGCCAAAGAGGGGACGGTGTTGCCTGGGAGGAAGGTAAAGTAAAAAATGAAACACACAAAAGCCCCCAGAAAAACTCATATAAGTTACAGGGTACCCCGATGTCACGAATAAACTCTAGAGCAAAGAAAGAGAATGAGGCCAGAGTTTACTTCAAAGTCATGTAGGTTGGACTGTGGCAGAGTTTCACTGGGTGCATGGCCACCTCGCTGGGGGCTCTACCTCGCAGACTTGTATACTGCTAAGTGCGGCTGTGTGGCTAGGGTCAGACCAACGGAACATGAGGGGAAACTGATGTAACTCCAGGACATCTCAGTAAAGGTGAAGTCATCTTCCTAGACCTTTACCTCTTCTGGTTTTTGAAGGTCGGAAACCTAATTTGAAAATGGTCCGCTTTTAACCCCAGCGACAAGCACCACACTCTGAAAGATGCTGGAGGAAGGAGATGGAAGGAATCAAGGCCCCTGAACGACCTCATGGCGCGGAGCCGCCACAGTAGCATGGGCTGTCGGTCCATCTCTGGACTGCGTTCCATTAGAGAGATGAAGCTCTCCCCTATTCGTCACGATATCCTGGAGTCTCTGTTACAGCAGTTCAGCTTTATCGTAACTGAAACAGACACATGGGATCAAGCACATGGGGAATCACTGCAGTTCCACACAGTGGGGACAGAAGTGACATTTGTCTTCTGTGTTCACTGCTGCAGCCCAGAGGACGGAACTACTGGTATCTGCTCATAGTAGGCACTCTGCAAGTATGTGCTGAGTGAATAGATAGGGGGAGTCAATGCCGGATTGGAATTGAAAGGAAAGTGAAGAAGTGGGGCGAGGGTATCGAGTTACATGTCTGTTACAAAGATCTGCTGACGAGAAGGGAGAGGCTCTGAGGAACCATCTGAGTGTCTTTGCAGAAGCATAAGGCATGTGTGCGTGAACGTGACACAGCAAAGACGAGGGCAGAGCTAAACAAAACTGGAACACATACAGTATGAGAAAGGAGGGAGACAAAAGAAGTGAGTATTGAACAGTCTTGTGAATTTCCTGATTACCCTTAGCCGGGGTAAGATACTTTCCTCACGTTGCTGGAAGGGAAGAAGGAGGGGCTGGGTACAGACAAGTATCAGCTGTAGGGTCAGAAGCAGGTGTCTGAGGATGTTTCTGAGTGTTGGCTTCTATTTTTTCCCTCTTTCTGTAGAGTGGGAAGCACGGTGAACCACTGGAGAGAATGGTGCCCAGAACAGGGGCCCAGCTGATGTGAGCAGAGGAAGTTGAAAACAGTCATCGTGAAGAAATAGCAGAGTGAGCGCAGGACCACGCCGGGAAGAAAGGGGCATCCTGAAAGGCTCGCTGATGAGGCTGTTACAGTAGCGATCCACCCGGTATGTGTTTCCCTGGTAATCTACTGTCAGAGTTCAGACACAGACACGGAGGACGGAAAAGGATTGGCTTCTTCCAGGGTTGTGCTTTTCCCAGATGAACAGAATTAAACGGCTACAGGACAAGACATTTTAGAGAATCGCAGTAGACTAACTGCTGGACCCTTGTTGGATGAAAGGGAAGTGGTGGCAGGAAGGGCTGGTGTGGCAGGTAGGTGGACTCATCGATGGCCTGGAAGGTCTTAACAGGAGGATGAGAACCTACAGTGTGGCCCCATACCTGGCCAGTTAGGACAGGAAACAGAGGCAGACAGAATGGTTTTGTAAATTAAGACTGATTAATTTCCAGCATGACAAAGTTGAGAGGAGGGGGACGGTCTGGAGTAGAAGAAAACGTCACTGGGGGTGAGGGGGCAAAGGAAGTAAGAGACCGTGTGTGCGAGATGAGTTCCTGGTGTGGATGTCCAGGGCCCCACGGGAGGGTGCTCTCAAAGTGGCCAGAGAAGGCGCCACGGCCACACCAAGTGGGGCAGACAACAGCCAGGAGTGGAGGGGAAGGCGGTGGGGCCAGATCGTGCGAGATTTAAAGGAGCAAAAGCTTTCCAGCTAAGAGAAGAGCTGTGGTCGGAAGGCTACCCGAAGGGCAGGGAGACAGTGACCCAAGCTCCAGCGCTCGGGCGTGAGGGGCAATGGGCGGGCAAACAGCCTCCAGTGGACAGGATCCCAGAGGATCAGGAACCAGCCACGTCGCGGTTACAGAGCAGAAGGGATACGAGAGGAGCGTCTAGGAGTCGGGAAGGGTGGGTGGGGAGAGGCACGTCCGGAAGCCTGGGTTTGGGAGGCTGTGTGGAGAGACAGAGCATGAGTGTGGGAATGGTAACAACTGGCTGACGAGGCTGCACCTTGAGTGGCGACGGGACAAAGGGACACAGGCTCTGGTCAGCTTGCAGGGACCGCTGCACACTCTCCTGGGGTTTGACAAACTCATCCGATGGCTCTAACTCCATCTGTCATCCTTGACAGAGACTCTACCGTACCTTCCCGAACAATCTGTCTGTTGCTGTAAACGGGGTCGGTCTGAGATGGCCGGGCCTTTATCAATCAGTTGCTATTTCTTTCGTCGATGCGTGTGGACTGTCCTTTGCAGACACCGTCCGTCCTGGACCTCATCTAGTCATCCACGGGCTTCGGACACCTTCAGTTTCACAAACTCATAGATTGATGTACACATGTAATCAGTGAGGAACCTTGTCCAGACCAGGAGACTGGGACCCACACTGAGCTTCGAAAGAGAGGTTTTATACTCCTTTCTCTATTACTATTAACCTTGTGTATCCCCAAAACAAGAGAGTTTGGGCCCTGAGAACAGGTCTTCTGAGCCCTGGCTCTGCCGCTTACAAGCCCTGCGACCTTGAGAAGCCCACGGGGAGCGTCCCACAAGCCAAGAACCGTAATCTCATCTTATAAAGGGAGATAAGCGCCCTACGGTGCCTGCCTCGTACGCCACTGTGGCCGCTGAGCGGGAAGAGGTACATGCTCGCACGGTCACAGCAGGAGTGCAGCTGACCATTTACAGTTCCGGGCAAACATAAGACGGCGTGTAGGTTCAAAATGCCTGTTTCCTAAGCGGGGGCTGATTCCTTCTGATGCTGTGATGAGGGATTTGTCTTAATCCCCCTGGTGTGTCTGCTTCTGGCCTTTCCCACCTGTGCTTTTCCAAGCTGCCTCTAGGAAGCTACTTGTGGGATCAGACTGGATTTTTGAAAATAATTTCTCCCTTTCCCCTTTCATTAGGATCACGTGAAGTTGCGTCGCCTAAATTGTGCACCGAGAATGTCTCTTGGGAGTTGTTTCCCTCTGGCTTTGTCAAAGTACCTGCTTCATAAGGCCTGCCTCCTTGGAGCCTGGGACACGTCTGACCACCCAGATCGTCCTCTGTGACACAACTGTCCCCTGAACCTCTGCTCGGACCTCCCCCGATGAACCGCTCCCATCTCCTTCCTTACTGGCTTCCCCTGATGACCCACGGATGTCCCTGCAGTCACAGGCCTTTTGCTGGGGGCTGAGCAAGTACAGCATCGTTCATTCTGACTCCCCCATCCATCCGTCTCTCTGAATCTGCTAAAACTTTCTTAGTCGCTCTCTAACCATGACTCATCTCACCAAGCAAAACGGGTAAAGCCATGTTACCAACTATGTTGTCATTTTAAGTTTACAACCCACGGAACACTTATTCACCGGCGCATGTCGATGGCTACGCACGTTGATTTAAACCCCCTTTTCCAATTATGTCATTATGGGAATAACTGGACACATTTTGAATCTTAATTATCTTTTTATGCTATACCGTAGGCCATAGGAGAGGGATGACAGCTTTCTTTGGACTGACACCCTAGCTTGTACACAGGGTTCAAGTCACATGAGCTGAGATCAGTTTTAAGTTCAAAGAATATATGTTTTAACTTCCTGAGGAAGCAGAGAACATGATTTTACCAAGTTGCCATGTTAATCAAACAGAGACACAGCCTTGAAGGGGAGCGAGCTCACAATCAGAGCTCAGGCAGGTCAACAGTGTGTCCCATGAGAACGGTGGCCATCAGGGGTGCGCCATTGCTTTCAGAACCTGCGTCATTAAAAATACATCTTCTCTTCTTCTCAAGTATTCCCCTTGGTTGCTCAAAATTTCTTCACAGAAGAAATAGAAGAAAAAGTAATACATAGCACACGAAATCAAAGAACCAGGGTTTCGTTTAGAAGAATGCAAAACTGTATTTACTGTGATTACGATTCAGAAAAACTGGCAGCCTCCAATTTCTTTTCTGCAATTCAATTAACCTTATGCGTACCTTTCTGCTTTAAGGTGTTAATTTTTTCCACTCAAGAGCAAACAAAAGGAGAATGAAATAAATTATGAGAATGTGAAATGTAACTGATTAAAAAAATGGGAGAGACTGGCATCTCTTCCTCGGGGAACATTTGTTTTAGGGTCACCTTTCAATTCCTCTAACTGCTGTCTTCAGAAGGACTTACATTAATTCTGGATATTATTTTCAGTTTTTTGAAGAAATTGGCTCACGTTTCTCACAATCAAGGAGTTGGAACTTGATTTTGCATAAGATATGAGTGTTGCATCTGGAAAAGAACTGCCCCATCTCCCACATAATTAGGATAAGTTCAAGTAGATCGTAAGTAACAGACGCTTCAATACCCCTCACGCTTACAAGGAAATCTTCAGATAGAACAGTAATACACAGTCTGCAGCCAAGGTGGTTCAAGGTCAGTTTCTCCATCTCCCCACCACTGGACCCTCTACAAAAAGCACACCTAGAGATACGCAAGCTGTGGATGAAATGCAGCGGGTTTGCTAGGGGCACGTGTTTTATAACATGCACGTGTAACTGATGGAGTTGGGACCGATCAGGTGTGAATATAACGCAAAAGCTGCAGCGGGCGTGGACCCATGTCTCCGGCACACAAGGGTTCTAAGTCACGACACTGAACACAAAAGGCTAACACAAGTGAGCGGGGCAGGACGCAGAGGCGCGCTCTTCTATAAACGATGCCCTGTGACCCCACGCTGTCCCTCTTGGTCCCGTTTGGTCACACGTTCCGTCTTGAAAGTGTCTGTTGCATGCGTCTCCGGATCTTTGTCAAAAGAAACAAGCGCAGACAGTGGTCCAGAACAGCCGACGCTGGCATCGCTGCGTTTGCCTGTAACCATCCACCTCTGTCCTCGTCTCCAAGGCCAGGCACCCCCACCCGTCCTCCCCTGGTCTGTCATCAAGCCGCCTTTGCCTTCCTCTTGATTAAAGTTCTGTGTGTACTGCAGCTTACTTTATCTATTAGGAATTTCATATGCCCTTTCTGTGCAAGGATCTTTAATTAGGATTTTTTTTTTTTTTTTTTTTTTTTTGCTTAGTGTTCCGGTTACAAAATTTCCAAGGTTTTGAGTATTCTATCCCAACCCTACATTTTCCCAAATCCTTGCTATTTTCAGTGGATGAGTTTGCATGATGCAGACTTCACAGTAACACACCTGCACCGCCAATCCATTCCTGAAAACTTCGAAGGTAGAACAGCTCACTGCATCCAGTGCCTCACTAACTTTTAATCCAGTTATGGTGGTGGAGTACGGAGTTATAATTCATGTACTTAAAATATATTAGTTTCTTCATAGTTCACAGTTGTTACTAAAACTTTGAGGAGTTTATAATTATTCACTTACCCAGACATTTAGATACAATTGCTATAATTTGTGATGTAATGTTTAGCCCTTAGGAACAAAACTTTCTGCCTGAATGGGAGGGAGCCTCTTCAATTTCCCCTGCAACACCTCTTTAAACTGGGTATTCTGATCTTTTCCCAGATAGTTATTTTCAGCTGTGTCTCTGATTATTGCTTCTGTTTCTGCTGTTCCATTCTGCCCCTCTGGAACATCTAAACTACTGAAGTTCACACTGGTTTCCTAGCGGCCCACATCCATTAGCTTTCAATGAGGTTCGAGTCTAGACTGAACCAGATCCCTCTTCTGCGCTCCAGGCCCCTGGATCCTGTATCTACTCAGCATCCTACTGTGACTACCTCGAAAACACGTCAATGTCACCTTGTGCAGTCAGTACCTCTTGCCGCGTTCCCTACCCCAACAGTGGTGTCCACCCAGCTGAGCAAGCCAAGAGCTGGCAGTCAGCTCTGACATTCCCTGTTCCTCCTTCCCCACATCCTGTCTATCACCAAGTCCCATTAATCTCCCTTTAAGCAGTTCTCAAATGACTCACTTCTCTTTGTCTCCACCGCCACCCACCCTCCTGACGCAGGCTGCAGTCTTGGACTTGGGCCACCGCAGCAGCCCCTCTCTGGACCCTCCACATGCAATGGCCAAAGTGACCCTGAAGAGACACCAGACTGAGCACATCACCAACCCCCGTCCAAACTCTTCCAGAAAACTGGGAGTGGAAGAAAATGTCTTCAATGTGGCAAAGGCCACATTCCCAAAACACTTAGCAAATATCACACTTAGTGGAGAAAACTTAAAATCAGAAGCAAGGATTCTTCCTTAACATCACAACTGTTAAACAAAGGTCCTTACCAATGCAGTGAGACAGAAGAAGGAGAGGGAGGAGGGGGAGGGGAGGGGAGGGAGGGGGAGGAGAGGGAGGGGAGGGGAGGGAGGGGAGGGGAGGGAGGAGCAGGAGAAGGGGAGAAAAAGGGGGAGAGGAGGTAGGAAAGAAACGAGTGGCACACGGTTTGGAAGGGGGAAGGTGAAAGAATATCCTTATTGGCAGATGACACAATCCTAACCATAGAAATCCCGACAGAACAGAGGGACTTAAAACTAATGAAAGTTCCAAAAGACTGAGGGATATAAAATCTGCTTAAAACTCAATAGTATTTCTCTATGACTACAATAAACAGTTTTTATCAAACTTCTGTGTTGAAATTTCATCAACTGCTTTTTCTGTATCAATAATCACATGGTTAATGTACTTATCAATGAGAAAAGACAGGAACCCAATCAAAACATAGGAAAATTTTGAAAGCAGTTTGGAGCAAGAGAAATCTACGTGACTGGAAAGTATATGAAGACACTCTCAACTCATTAAACATGATGAGAAAAATAAAATAAAATGAGGAGATGTCACTTTACAACCGTTATATAAAATTTTAAAAGAACGATAGCACCAAGAGCTGGCGAGCAAGTAATCCACCATGCACATGCCCCCGCATCACCAGGGCCTGTGAACAGGACTTTATTTGGAAATAGGGTCAAAATAAAACAAGTCCAAGATATCCATAATCAGTGACTGGGAAGAGGAAAATTATCCAGAAAAGTCTAGAATAAAGGATGCTTAGGGAAGAGAATTAGTAGGAAAAGAGAAAGAAACCTAGCATCTACTAGGTATCTACCTTGTGGTTAGGGCTTGACATCTATCATCTTATAAAATGTTCTCAGTAACACTAAAGTAGGCGGTGTCATCTCTTTACATAGATAGAGAGGTGACTTCCTTAAAACCAGACAGCAGGACTAGAACCCAGCTCCATCTCACCTGGATAGCTACAGCTCAGGAATAAGAGAATAATCAGTTTCCAAATGCAGCATTAGTCTTAATGAGGAAATACTGATGACTTACTAAGAAAAAGGTAAACAGTAGCCTTCTAGAAACAATTTCAGTGGCATGGTAAGGGACAAAGCTGGGTTAGCGGTAACAGAAGAATTCAAATTACCTTGACTTACGTCTTCTCTGGTGGCGCAGTGGTTAAGAATCCAGCTGCCAATGCAGGGGACACGGGTTCGATCCCTGGTCTGGGAAGATCCCACATACCGGGGAGCAACTAAGCCCGTGCGCCACAACTACTGAGCCTGCGCTCTAGAGCCCGAGAACTACAACTACTGAGCCTGCGTACCACAACTACTGAAGCCCGCGCATCTAGAGCCTGTGCTCCACAATAAGAGAAGCCACTGCAATGAGAAGCCCGCGCACCGCAACGAAGAGTAGCCCCCGCTCGCCACAACTAGAGAAAGTCCGTGCGCAGCAATGAAGACCCAACGCAGCCAAAAATAAATAAATAAAAATAAATAAATTTACAAATTATCTTGACTTATACTAAAGGGTAGTGAATGTCTGGGCACATTTAAAATGATGGAAGAAATATAGAATAAAGGTGTTAACAAGATAAAGGGCAATTATGAGAGAGTTATTCTAGAAAGGTGAAGAGGAATTAGATTGAGAAGTGGACTAAAGAATTATCTATTATTATTATTGCTCATTATATTTTATTATTTATTTTGGCTGCCCTGTGTGGCATGCGGGATCTTAGTTCCCCAACCAGGGATCAAACCTGTGCTCCCTACATCGGGAGTGCAGAGTCTCAGCCACTGGACTGCCAGGGAGCCCCTATTACTGCTCATTATCTTTAAAGAAGAGAATTTTTCTTGCTAATATTGCACAATCACAGAAAAAGGAAAATATTCCCTAGTGTAATTATATCTGTGTATTGACAGTTAAAAGTCATATTTAGTTCATTAAAATGTTTGTGTTCTTTATTGGATCCGGAAAAAAACTAATTTAACTCAGTATATTTTCGTCATGACTAATTCTGTTGGAAACATACTAGGACTAAGCTTGATATCAAATAACAGAGTTGAATCACTTGGATTCTACACAGAAAATTTCCATCTCTCAAAAGCTGAGCTGCACCCAACAGCCTCCTTTATTAGGATGCTGTAAATAGGATGCTTGTTAGGATGGTAAAAAGTAACTGGTGTAAACAAAGGCTCTTCCCTGCGGCTCCCGTTTCTCCTGCCTTGTGATTCTGGCTCGGAGCCAGGAATACAGAAGATGCTGGATGACGTCTCGTAGGCGAGGCGCCTGTGATCAGCAGTGTGCTCTGGGAACCAGGCAGACCTGTGCTGCCGCTTAAATCAGTGGTCCCCAGCCCTTTTGGCACCAGGACCGGTTTGGCGGAAGACAATCCTTCCGCAGACAGGGGCGGTGGGGTGGGGTGGCTCAGGTGGCAATGGGAGCGATGGGGAAGCAGGTGAAGCTTCCCTCACGTGCTCGCCGCTCACCTCCTGCCGTGCAGCCCGGTTCGCAACAGGCTGCAGACCGGTCGCGGTCTGTGGCCCGTGGGTCGGGGACCCCCAGCTTAACGATTAACAGCTGTTAACTTACTCTAGGTTTCACCACCATGGCTTACTTTCCCAAACAACTGAAATCTTTACACTTACATTTTCACTACGTGATCGGAATAGGTGACTTCTAAACTGAAGTCCCCACCACTGGTTTCCGTGAGCAAGAAATAATAGACATGATCAGTTGTACCACCAAATTAAAATGTATTGAGTTCTGTGGCTTAAGCTGAGCTAATTATGTACACAGCTAGGAGGAATAAGAGACTCATGAGCTGCACAGTGTGTAGCCGTCAGAGAAGCAAAGGAGGAGCAGGGTTACACACGTGCAAGCCGGGAGCCTGGACAGGGCTCATCCCCGACTCTGCCACCTGGGACATCACTTATCCCAACGGGGGCTCAGTTACCTCTTACATAAACTGGGCATAATTCATATACGTACCTCCCCGGGTCCTCACAGGGATGATGCCTGTGGAGATGCCGTCAAGCTGGGCACAAATGTAACAAATCACTACTTTCATTGATGGAGGAATAAGAACAATGGCCCCAGAAGCCAGAAATAAAGACGGACATGGGGCTTCCCTAGTGGCGCAGTGGTTGAGAGTCTGCCTGCCGATGCAGGGGACACGGGTTCATGCCCTGGTCCGGGAAGATCCCA